TGATTCACAGTATTGCACTGACAGGTCAGCCCACTTTCTCAGTCTGTCACTTGAACCATTCCATACCTCCATGTCCTGAGCACCAGGAAGCCCAGCACTGCCATCTTCTATCTAACTCACAGAATATCCTGAGTTGGAAGGGACCCACAAGGATCATCAAAATCCTACTCCTGGACCCACACTGGACCACCCCCAAGAATCACATCATGTGCCTGAGAGCGTTGTCCAAACGCTTCTGGAAGAGCTGACTGTTTTTCTGTTTCTGCCTCTATCATTTACATTATGTGGTACTGAGGGAACACATCACCAGCCCTTAAACAGACACAGTTCATGATCAGGAGGTGATTGTTAGAAATTTAAACAGATAAACCCATCAATCACTAAACAGTGCTCGATGGTATTATGCCCACCTGTGATAGGGCACAAATTAAAATCCTATCGTCACCCTTACCAATGGAAAAAGCAGAAATTCCTCCCATAGCACTACAAGCTTTCTCAGGAACATGCAGAAACTGAGGAGGATGTCCTCCAGCTTCCCTGGGCTCTGCATTGAGAGTCCTAGTCGGTAACAGTGAAGACAGTGAAGAACAGGGATTCACCAGGCTGCCATGGTGTTTGTGGCACATACCACAATTGAAGGATTAGCAAAAAAATGCCTGTGCTTTCTCTGACCTGCTAACACCAAGCTGTAGTGTTCCTCTGTATTTACATGGATGCTATGTTCACACTACATCCAGTAAAAACTTCATCCTAATCTACACCTAATCTAGGAGAGAAAAAACTACACACATGGAAAAGAAGAAGTTAATGAGGAAAAGTAAGGCAGAAGGAAGCTTAAGAAGGAAGCACAAGGAGAAAAGGAATCCAGCCTGTTATACAGCAACAAGAAATATACTTAAGAAATTGTAAAAGGCATGATGAAGAAGAAGAAAAAACACTAGAGGTAGGAAACCCAGAAGAAAATACTTACAAGAGTTTTTACTTATTAAACTGCCTAGATTTCCACTCAGAAGTTCTCATTTTATTATTTCATTGGAGCAGAAATGCTCAGAGAAAATGAAAGGCCTTCCTCTAAATAAAAGGAAGGAATACCAGGTAATTAAAAATCATTTTAACCCCCAGTTTTCCTAAGACGTTCCTCCTAACCGCTCCTCTAACTGTTTTTGGTGGACTGTGGGACAGTGGTGCATTAAAAACTTGAATATATCCTGTCATGACCCATTTTTTAGGTATATAATCACAACATTTATTTTTCTCCATGGAGTGAAATTTATCCTCTGCTGCATTTAGTTAACTTCATTAAAGGACTAGTTTATTGAAGGATCAGTTCAGGAACTACTCTCAGTACTGAAGTTTATGTAAAATGCTTGAGAGGTATAAATGGGTATCACAAGTGCCAATACAGTTTTATGTTAAAGAAGTCAGGTAGGATAGTTTTTCCAGTCTAGGCAGCAGTTATAATCTGCATTAACCTTTTTCAAGACACTATTTGTAAAATAACAATGGAATACTGTGAGGATAGACAGAGCAGTGAAAATATTAGACATCTGCTGAAATAAACAGGCCCCATTTCCTCATGACAACCTATTACAAACATTGTTAACTGGACACTTCAGTCCTTAGTGCCCCTCAGCTTGCCTGTCAAGGGTGCAGAGGAGGATCCTCACTGATAAAAACGAAGTCAGTAATTATGTCTGAAGCAGGAGCCTTTTTTTATCTTCAATACATACTGCAAACAATGCCTTTGTCCCCCGTTTCCTTTGTTTTACTGTAACAAAACATATCAGACCAAAACCTAAGTAAACAAGAAAGAAAACAAACAAAAAAAACACCACCCCAAAACAAAAGAAACGCTCTGTATTTCTATGTATTTCTCTGTATTTCGCATGCATTTGTAACTGCCTGGAGAACTTTTTGAAGAATTCCACGACAAAGAAGCAGGAGGATGTCTTTCCTGACCTGGCCCATGGAGTTCCCCCACACAAAGCACCACTCTGCCTCCAGACCTTGATGGCTGCGGCCCCTCACCTCTGGCTCCTCTCCCTCCTCCTCGCATCACCCACAGCAGCGGCTAAAATTGCTTTTTCCCTTCCCCCTTCGGTACTGGCCACACTCCCCTTTCCAGCTCTGCCTCGTTAGCTATTTCGGGCCACGCCTGATGTCTCCATGGCTGCGGTCCGTTCACCAAACCAATTTAAAAATAAAAAATAAAACTAAAGGGGTGAGGAAGTATGAGGCTAAGGACCGGAGACTTCCACACAGCCGTACCCACGCCATGGCGCCACGGGCGTCACGGCACGGGCAGAGAGGCGTCGGGACAGATCCTGCTTCAGGAACAGAGAGCCTCGGCCCAGCAAACGCCCCGTTCCCTCTGGGGACAGCCATGCCTTTGGGAAACGATGCTCCGCCTCTGCAGCCTTCAGCGTCCCCACTGCTCCCACGGCCCGCGCGGGGCCCGGGGAGGAGGCGGAGGCGGGAGATCCCGGGATAACCCTGCGGGACGAGCCTGGCATGGCACCCCCTCAGCCCCCCCGCGCTCCCCTCGCCTGACCCGCGCCCGGAATCTGCCCCGCCACCACGGAGACACGGCCCGCCAATCAGCGCGCAGGGCTCCCGTCGCCACGGCAACGCACCGCCCAATCCGCGGCTGGTCCTCCCGCCTGGCCCCGCCCGCTGCCCCTGCTCCCCCGCGGGGCGGGGCCGGGCTCGTCAAGGCGGTGGGCGGGGCCGGCGGGGAGAGGGCGGCCAATCGCAGCGAGGCTTTTGCTTCGGTGCCCAATGGGGGCGCGGCGCCCGCGCGGCCCTTAGTCCACGGGAGCCGAGCGGGGCCAAACCCAGCTGCGGCCGCGGCCTCCTTTTCTGCGCGCCCCCCCACCCGCCGGCGCGGAGTTGGCGGCGGCGGCTTCGGGCTCTGTCCCCGCGTCCCCCCGCCGGGACCCCCCCCGCGGCCGCGCCCGGCCCCGCGCCCCCGGCCCGCGCCGCCCCGGCAGCGCCGCCTCCGCCCGCGGGGCCCGGGCCGTGCCGGGGGAGGAGGGGGAGCAGCGGGAGCAGCAGCAGCAGCGCCGCCGCCGTCGCCGCCGCCGCGGGCGGGCCCGTCCCCCAGCGTCCCCCCCGAACACCATAGGCGGCTCCGGCTCCAAGATGTCCAACCGGGTGCTCTGCCGGGAGGCCAGCCACGCCGGCAGCTGGTACACGGCCTCAGGTACCGCCGCCGGGCGCGGGGAGCGGGGCGCGGGCGGCGGGCGCTGAATCAGCACTTTGGGGCCGCCGGGGCCGCGGCCGGTACCGGGCGCGGGGAGGGGCCGCGGGCTCCGCCCCCGCCGGCACATGGCGGCCGGGGGGGCGGGGGGGCCGGGCTCGGTTACCGGCGGGGAGCGGGCGGAGCCGGGTAGGGGGAGCCGCGCTGCTCCCCGAGCGCACCCTCTGGCCCCCCGGCCCGACCTCCCTTCTCGGCGGAAAACCGGCGTTCGGTGGTGGCCGCGGCTCGGTCAGCTCCAGCTGGTGCTCTTCCGTGTGCCTGCCCTGCCCGGCAGCCGCAGCCCCGTGTGTGAGGCGGAGCCCAGCCCTTGTGCTGTGCCTCGCACCGAGCGTTGCGGTCCGTCAGTCTCGGAGCACACGGACGGATCTGTGTTCTCATGTGCTCTTATGGGGATTTCTGGATTTTTTTTTTTTTTTCCCCCCTTGAGGAAATACCGCACGTCTAGTGTGTTTCGCAGGGTTCGAAGGCAGGTGAAGAGGTGTGAAAATAAGGAGACTTATTTCGCTTCTTATAGTCCAAGGCAACCTTCTGTCTTTTCTTCTCGAGCGCTTTCTCTGGCAGTAGTGAAAAGTTATTAAGCAATATTGCAGAGTGGGCTCTGTCCGTTTAAACGTGTGGCACTTGCAGGAAAAAAAGAAAGACGCGATGTTGTGGAGGGAGAGCTACCGCTCCCTTCAGCGTCCCAACCCCCCCCCCCCCCCCCCCAAAAAAAAAAAAAAAAGAAGCAAAAACCTCTTAATAATGGCTTGGTAGCTCATATGTTTGGAAATAAGTTTTGTTGGGTTTTGGAGCAGAACTGCAATTGTGGAAAAGATGCACGTCTGTCTTTTCAGAACCGTTCGTAAGGAGATTTGTAAGGGATGTTCTTTTACTGGCCCCAGGAGTAAAGATGATTACAAAACTGCAGGTGAACGAGCTTAGATGAACAAGAGGCTGTCGTAATGAGCAGTTCAGAGAGGCACAATTGAAAAAAAACAGAGAAGCGTGGCATTCAGGATCCTAAACTGACATTTAAGAAGAATTAGGTGTGAGAAGTCATACACTTCTCTTGGCTATATATGAAATAGATGCAGTCTCCCCTCTCCTCCACAAATGGATGAGGCAAAAATTGAAAGGGAAGAAAAGAATTACAGGGAGGAGGGTAACACAGGAAGAGGCGGATTGTGAGATAAATAGCTGGGCTTCAAATGGTGGGTAGGCAGTTTCGAGACAATAGTTCCTTCTGAACTTAATATTCTAAACATAACTGTTGTGTCCATTACAAAACTGGTCTCAAATCTTCGTGTAGTGTCGACAGGTAGCAATTACATTTTTTTCCAATGGTCTAGAAAGGTGTAAGGTGGTACTCTTTACAGAAAACAACAGCAGAAAAAATCTTGTCAAAAGTATGGGTTTAAACACATGCAAGGACACCAAAACATCAAAGTTTTGTCGTAAGACCAGCTTGTTTCTGCTGTTTTTGTTTTCATTTATGCAGTAAACTTATTTGCAATATGGAATGGCTACATGACCTAACACATAAATTTTGAAGTGTGTTTGATATTGGACTTCATACCCAGTTATTGATGGATACTTTCAAATAAGAATTTTAATTAAAAAAAAAATTAATTAAAGGGGCATGGATACTGTGTTGGGCTGTTTTCTTTTCTATAAAAATTCAGTGCTTAATTTTGTTAGACTACACCCTGTTAAGTCTGTGTGGCTGTTTTGGCCAGTATTAGCTGTTGCTCCCATTGCTTTTGGGCAGCCCTCTGGCTGTTGCTTATTGAGGAGATGTGGGATGGTTGCCCGGACACACTGCATGAAAAAAAAAAAAAAAACAACCCAAACACTGAAACAAAACAAACAACCCCCCCCCAAAAAAAACCTAAACAAAAAACCAAACAAAGACACACAAAAAAAATTACACCGAAAACCTGAATCGTATTGTAATAAATTATGACAACTGTACTTATGAGTTAAATTGTAACTCTTACAGCATTTGTGGTGGGGGTAAGTGGTTGATGTTGCATAAGCTGGAGTTTTGGGAAATGTGTTTTTCCTTAAAAAAGAAAAGAGTTTTATGTCTCTTGCTGTAGAACTGTGTTCTGCTGTTTTTATGGGTATGTGAGAGCAGGAATTCTGCCTGTTCAGCAAGACAAGGACTACCCATTATTGTTGGTTGAAAGCTAATGTTGGTGTGCCGTTTGGAGGGTACATCAAATCTCAAGAGGAAACAAATGGGGACCAAGAGGGTATATGTTCATCATAGTCTTAAAAATCTTCCTGTATTTCAGGCTAAACTCATATGTCAGCTGCCATGTCAAAATTGTAACACAGGCTCCTCGATTGTAGTACTTGAAGAAAGTGGATTTTACCATGTGCTTTCAGGCTGCATAGCTTCAAGGATGGAGCTGCGACAGGGATTAGAGTTTGAATTGTGGTAGTTCTTCACTGCATTCCCATGATTCTCTGGAGATTGTCTTTTCAAGTCCTCCTACCTCCTCCTTTCTTCGTGCTTGCTGTCTCGGCCCAGAAGCAATTTGCTGTGTTATATATAAACTGGTTAGCATTTAAGCTTCCTGTTTCCTCAAAACTGCTCCCTTTCTGCAGAGCTGAGTTTGATTGCACAGGGCAAGTGGTTGCCCTGGCTACCCTTATCCTGCTTCACAATTAAGATGACCCCATCTAAAAGGATATTGAGAAACATGATTTTTGAAGGATATTCAAAAAATTATTACATCAATGCATTTTAAAGGGGCTGTGTGAGGATGAGGTTTTTAAGTGGCAGTTTATCCTGATGTGCCTAGTACCTGAGGCATCCTGCATTGGATAGGGGGTTGAAAAGTGAAGCACCAATTGCTATGCTGAAAAAAAAAGGGTCTGTGAGATCTGGCTATAGAAGTCAGCCCTGGGAAAGCAGGACCGAAGCCAGCTGATGGGGGAGAAAAATTATGGATCCAGAATGCAAACCAGCTTTTGTGACCAGAGGATATCCTTGAACTCGATTAGTTGGCTCCTATGCAGTCCAGGAGCGGAAGCAATATCAGAGGTGAAGCCACAACCAAGACCAAGGTACTGCTCTTCATGGAGGGTCAATGTAATGTATGTAAGAGGGTTTAGAAGAAACACCGCTTCTTGTCTTTAGAAACTACTCATTTCTATGGGACAGGAATTGCTTCAGTTGAAATTAGACTCTCGCTCCCCAACTTTCCCCAGCCATGGGATGTGCCCTGCTTAGATTCTGCCTTGGATAACGTAAGCATGCACTACATTCTAATACAAATACACCACCTACTTGTAGGATGCTAATTAACTCTGTAGAGCAGGTGAGACTGGCTGTGCAATTATGCACATCCAGGCATGTTCACGGGTCAGAGTGTTACATCTAAGTAAACAACTTTGTTGTTACTAGATGGAAAGTTGGGTCCCAGGGAGGAAAGCTCACTGCTACCTACTCAAGGGAGCTGAGAAGGGGGCAAGGAGTAGAAGATGGACTTCACAGTGGTGTTACCATTTAACTGCTCATGTGTTCTTCATTCATAGTGTGCTGTTCTAACAAAAAAAAAAAAAAGAAAATTAAAAAGCAAGTTCCTTAAGAAGTTTCTGCAGGTGAGTTCAGGATGAAAAATGTAACCAAAATTATTGTCTTCCGTTCTGCTCTAGAATTCTTGGTGTGGGGAAGTTCATTTTCATTCCACATCAATCCATGAAGCATTTGCCTGACAACAAACTTAACTACGATGTTCGGTCAATTGTTCCTCCTCCTGTTTAGCAGCAGCACTGAATTTGGGAAGCTTTACAGCTGAGCTTCCAAACTGAAATACTGCCATGCCTATTGCTGATAGTAGGCCACTGGTTTAGACAACCTCACTTTTTACTTGTGTCAATATGTCTGCTATTAAAAAAAACTGGAATGGGACGTCATTGCTTTTGTGGACGAGCAGTCTGGTACATGGTGGCCACTGAAAAGACTTGCAAAAATGAGTTAAGAGCATACCAAGTAAATGAAAACATCAGCCTGTTGCACTGCTGTCATGTAGTTGTTGAGAAAACTAAAAAGGAAATCATACTGTTGTGCGGTGAAAAATATTACATGCAGATTTATTTTTGGAAGAAAGTCCCACTCCTGCTACGTTAATTCAACCACCTAGTGTCCAGACCTCTTGAGAAATTGATTTTGACCAGCAGGGGGAAGAGGAAGATTAAGGACAACTTGAAACAAAAATGGCATAATTTTTCATGGCTTTGAATGCTGGATAGGTACATTCCTAGATACAAAAAGAGCAGCTGAAATATGATGGGAATAACATGCTATCCTGAGCATGGACTGTTTGCAGGACAGGGTGTGGATGCTCTATCCTGATTTACTCTTCAGTGTGAGTCGATTGAGTGAGTGCTGGGCAGTTCTTTGGGGAATCAATCCATACGCTCCTGAAATGGAAATAAACATTAGCTATGTGCATCTCTTTTTCCTGTTTAGCATGCCATTACAAGTGAGATGTCACACATTAGAGTGCTTAACTTGGCTCATTGGCTGGCAGCTGACCTGCTTCACCTGGCTCCTGGAGGTGCTAACTGAATACTGTACCGCTCTTTATTAAAGCGTGTGATAAGAGTTTTTGCCTCAACTTTTCCCCAGTCAGTGCCGTTATATGGCACTGATACGGGCAAAACACAAAGGTTTTTGTTGGCTCTTCCGGGTTACAGGAATAAAATCAAATTGAGGGGGTGTGTATGAGTAACAATATTACATGATCTGAAACTTGCCCTGCAAAACAAGTTTGTTGTTGTTTTAGTTATGGCTTGTTTCTTTGTTTTCCCTGACGAAACTGTAGTGGCCAGAGGTGTGCTATGTTAGCCTGTGCCAAGTTGTTTGAACTAGGAGAACCTTAATTTCCATAAGCTTATTAATGCAAATGTGAGTTGGCAGAGTAATTGCGGTGTCGACTTGAAACACCATT